GCTACCAGAGGAGGCCACCTCCTCCCTTTTAAACTGCTGGAGCAGCTCATCCTCAGGGACAGACAGCTTCTGCTTCAGCACCGCCTGGCTGTATGAGTGGTTGGGGGCGGTGTGGTTAGAGTGGTTGCCCCTGTAGTTCTGGGACAGGCTGCTGTAGTTGGAGAAGCGCGGTCTCAACCCGATGGCGAACCTACTAGTGCTGCTTCTGGATGTTCCGTCCTCGCCGTCGACGTGGTTGTTTTTGCCGGCCTCTCCTCCGTGGTTGTCGGTGAGGGACACGTAGATAGACTTCCTGGGAAAGTTGTGGCTCCGCAAGCCTCCCGGCGGGTCCGATTCCCTTCTCTTTGAATTGTCTTCCTCCCCCTCCTCCCTCCGGCTCCCCACCATATTTAGACTCTCAGACGGGTTAACCTGTCTGGCTGCCCCTCCCGTCTGGGACCCTCGGCCCACTCCGTGGGAAGGAAACTCCGCTTTCGGGTGGCTCCGTCTTGGCTCCAACCTATCCCGCTGCTTGTCTCCGACACCAAGGCCCCCAACCTCCTCCTCGTCCGAATCTGAGTAATCCCCAGCTAGCTTGCTAGTGTTTAAGTGAGACGCCCCACAACCGTTTAAAGAGCGAGAGTTCTTTTCCAGTTCCCCCTCATAATCGTCCTCGTCCCCCGATTCGTCGTAATCCCTCCCTTCCGCCTCGGGGCTGGATCTGGCACGAACTCCCCAGCCCAGGGAGACACTTCTCTGTCCGCCCGGACCCGAGGAAGAATTGTTGCTATTTAGCGTACTCGTAGCGCCAAACTGACTCTTGGTAACCACACTCGGCGTCGTAACGGGCCTTATCTTCGGTTGCTGTGGAAAACCGGAGCTTCGGTCTGCCCTGCTGCTGTGGTTGAGGCCTTTTCTTTTCAGTGGCGTTTCAGCGTCAGACTCGTCGGAGCTGAAGCCGAGGACGGTGGACTTCCTGCCCGGTCTCCTGCTAGAGCTCAGGTGCGTGACGTCATGGCTGGCTGGCCTGGATCCCGCCGTGTTGCCTCCGCCAGTGGTGCTGTTGATGGCCCCGCTGCTACGGGTTTTGCCCGGTCTGGAGCCCCGCTGCTGCTGCTCTTCGCGAAGCTTCTTCAATTTCTTCAGATACACCGGGCGAGTGTTTTCGGTAACCGGGCCTGGAGTGAAACCAAAGCGCTTTAATTCGGAGAAAAGCTCCTCATCCGTTAACTGCGTTGACGCCATCTTGGACAAAACTCTCGGAGAAGGTTGTGTAACGGAAATGACGTAGGGGTGAAGTGGTAGTAGACCAACTGGGGTGCGTTCAAAACCAACGACAAGCTGTTGATAAATGAGATTTTTTTTTTTTTTTTTTTTTTTTTTACATATAAAGCCTTTCCTATTACATATAAAATAACAAAATTGGGATTTTGATGACGCAAAGGTGCAAAAATCAGAATTTACCTTCTTTGTAAGTGAAGATATTATAAGTCATACAGGAATGCACAATGACAATAAAGGCTATTCTTTTCTATTCTATTCTATTTCCATACTGCAGTTTGTGTTTTTGATCATGAACAAAATTATTTTTGGTATCATTTTTCTCTAACTGTAACATTAGTACTTCATGGGTCTGTCCTGCATCTTGGGAGAATGCTGTCTGGTTCAAAAAGAAGCTGATGTAGAGAATCAAGTGCTGACTTGCTGGAAATTAATAGCATTAACATTTGTTGACTGAGAAATGAATTAATTGATTTGTGAAACACTTATTAAATAACATTTTAATCTTTGGGCTTGGGGAAGAGTTTTAATTATGTTGAAGTCAAAAGGCTCAAGTCCAAGTGAAGTCACGAGTCATTTGTGTTAAAATCCAAGTCAAGTTGCAAGTTTCTTTTTATTTTGTCCTATCGAGTCTTAAGTTATGAAATTTGTGACTCAAATCTGACTCAAATCCATGTCATTTGACTCAAGTCCACACCTCTGATTATTTCTACAGCAGAACTAAATCTAGGCTACTTCATATGGAAAGTGTGTGTGGAACGCAGTTTCAGGGCTTCTTCTATACAAATATGGTATTCCTAACAAATTAAGAGAAATACACTACAAAACTGTGCATTATATATTCCACTAACTCTTACATCAATTTGAATATGATGTGATTTTTGTAAAGACGAAGAACTGGACACTAATATATTTTATGAATGTTTACATATAGCAGTGTTCTGGAGAAAACTGAAGGACTGTTTTTCAAACAAACAATTAAGTTGGAAGCCAAAGATATTATTTTATATTATGAAAACAAGAAGCAGCAAATTGAACTAACTATTATTATATTAATCCTATTAGGTGCATCTAATACCCATAAGTCCAAATTTTCTAAATCTCTCCCATTGTTCATCATTGAATTTGGAAATTACATTGTCTGTTAAACATATTAATAATCAGAAATGTGTGTATGCAGTTAGTGTGCTGTTCTTCTGCACCGTATGTTTCAGTCATTTGTTTCATACTTATTTATTTATCTGTTTATTATTATATTATCACTATGTATATTATTACTAGTAATATTATTCATCCCATCTTTTTTCTTTTTTTGTACCCCCTGCTGCAAAGCGTCACTTGAGAGAGGGACATCTGGGGTGCTTTGCTTGGCTTGCTGCCCCACGACCCGGCCCTGGATAAGTGAATGAATATGGATGGATGGATGGATGGAAAAGTAACCATACACCAGCGAGCAAAATAATCACTAGTAAATTTAATCATAATAATAGATTCATATAACAAGTTGCCATTCTTCTTATTACTACTGGTTCTACCGCGTACTGCAGTTCAGTGTGCCATTTGTGCAAGTGGTGTAAGGTACAATCAATTTCAAACACTGTCTCTATTTCATTACTTTAAATTGTGTTAAAAATTGGAAAACTAGAAAGTCATATCAGTGTTATGTAGGCTTCATCACTGTCGACTGTTAGTGTGTCACAAAACATTTCATTTAAAAAGGTCATTAAAAGTCATATTATGTTATAAAAACGTCAGTAAAATGTTCCTTCCCTGACTGTCTCTGTGTGATACTGGGTTGTTATGTTTGGTATAGTCATAGCAAAAAAAGGTTATTCTGCATGAATGGAAGTTAGTGTTCCCTCCTTGCTTTACAAAATACCTAAAATGACATATTTTCTTGTCTATATCTTGAAGAAACACGGTGCACTCTGTCTAACTCCCTCATCAAGTTTTTCTAAAATCTGGGGACCCTTTATTAAACATATCAAAAGTGTAGAGAGTCTGCCTAACCACATTGGATCCTTCCTTGCATTGGACTGTACACTGTTTATCGATCCATCTGGACACCAGGTCTCCATTGGACCTTTCCTGACCAACCACGCCTCAACCTTCTTGTGGACAACCTCCTTATAGTACAACCTGGCATATACCATAATTGTACTTTCTTTCCTTTAACTGACAGTGTTTTACCCTTTATCTTATCATTATTATTGCTACTATTATTACCATTGTTTATTTTTTTATTAATCAGTTTTCATCTTTTTTTTTTTTGTTTTGCTTTCTGTCTTGTATTTCTCATGTCTGTGTTTTTATCTTGAAGAAATGTAAAATAAATCTCAGAAATAAAATCTATTTAAAAAGTAATTAAAATGTCATTTAAAAAAGTATGTCATAATTTGCACTTTTACTGTGCAGCCCTCAATCAGCTAACATATTGATAATATCAGTTCATCATCTGTATCAGCCACCAGGGTTGGAATTGGGGGGTTAGATCACCATATGATTCCCGAGCGCGGCACCACTGCTGCTCACCGCTCCCTCAGGGGATGGGTCAAATGCGGAGAACAAATTTCACACACTCAGGTGTGTGACAATCAGTGGAACTTTAAACTTTTAATCTTTAATGCTTTGTCTTATTTTCCACAGTGAATGAATAGTACATACATTGAAAAGCATTGTATTTCATGTCTCCATCTGCCCATGGAACATCATGATAAGAGTATGCATGCATAGTTAGCCTTGGACCAAGATGTCTTGAAAACGAACAACGTTTTTCGTTTGGGGGTTCCCGGTCTAGACCGATTCACATCTCCATAAACGGGATGTCTTGAAATTTACTTACTACCAATGTGCAATACACCTCCCAACCGCTAATGTGGCGCTGTGGCGTAGTAGAAAGTCGGTGCACTCATTCATTGCAGGACGAAGAAGGGGTGAAGAAAATTTCAAGACATCCCGAGATAAAAATGCATGTTTATTGAACAATAACGGATATACAAACACACGGCAACCCCCGTACAACTTCCTAACATCTGTGCCTATGAGGTGAGTACATTACATGTTTGATTTGAACGTTTATGGAGACGTGAAACGGTCTAGACCGGGAACCTCAAACGAAAAACGGGGTTCGTTTTCAAGACGTTCATGCAATGAACTTCTTGGTCCAAGGCTACACGCATAGTATGACGTTAATTACACTACAGAAGAGAATCAGTGATCAGTTAGGTAGGGAAAAAATGGATATATCAATATTGGTATTTGTTATTGGTCAAATGAGTTATATATTGGCATATTGGATATCGGCAAAAAATCCAATATCGTGCAGGTGAATGTGAATCGTTGTGTAAAAAGCACTTTGACACCTATGGCCAATTTAGAGTCACCAACTGACCTATCCTGCATGTCTTTGGACTGGGAGAGGAAACTGGAGTACCCGGAGAAAACTCATGCTGACAAGGGAAGTACATGCAAACTCCGCACAGAAGGGCTCCCCCACCCCGGGTTGAGACCAGGAACCCTCTTACTGTGAGGCAACAATGATAACCACTGTACCACAGTGTCAGGTTGGGGAAAAATTGAGACAGAACATGTAATTTTGACAATTTAGTCATCTAGTTTTGATGCTGTGCAACAGTGGGACAAAATGTGTATGTATAGCTGAAAGATCTTCCTACAGATAATACACGTACACAAAAACAGGTCAAAAAGTGGGGGAAAAAAACAATCTTTGTATCAGGAAGTTTGTACTTTCCCTCATACTTTTTCCATTTGGAAAATATAGCAATCTTTATTTTCACGACTGTGGCCACTCTATAAAGAATGTTTGACAACAGAGTTTACAGCAGTTAAAGGGCAAACAAATATCAGCATAATTCTAATTAACAAAACAAACAATAAGAGAAAGACAAATCTGCTGTAAATGTAATACAAAACCAAGAGTCAATTACATGTCATTTTAGACAAACACTTCTGTAGTTTGGAAATAAAACACAATGCATGTAGTCTTTTAATTAAATCCCTTATTAAGAACAAATAAAGCATTTATCCATGCCCCATAGCTTGAGATTGCACAAATAGAATTACATAGTACAATATAGTCTTTAGATTTTACTCTTCACTAACTTCAATATTAAACTGTACACTGTTACATTTACACCATTAAATTATGTACAATCACAGATATCAATAAACCCGGGGCATGCACTTACTTCGAATTAATCATCTTCTTGCTGTTGTACATCAGTAGCAGATGTGAACTATGAAAGGGGTGCAGTGATACCAATAGAATATTAACTACCTCTTTTTGACAACACTGAAAACATTCAACAATAAATTCAATCTGAGAATAAATTAATGGAATGATAGATATGAAACCAACCAGAGAGACACTGTTAAAAACATATACTCTGAGAAATGCACTTTAAATTTGTTACAGCGTCTACTAGTGCCTCATATGACAAAATGCTCCAATGTACTTTATTTTGACTTAATCCCACATACAGTGGCATAAAATATAGATCAATCCCAAAAAATGCACTGTTTCCTCTTGTTTGAGCAATGTTCACTGAAGCGATTGTCAACCAAAATAAAAACATTGTCACTGTGTAAAAAGAGGCACTGCAAGAGAAAACGAACAGGCTGACTGCAGCTCTCTTAATCACTGAGCCTGCTTAGACCTGGGTTCTCATTTATAAAACAGTAAGTAGGATCCATACTAAAAATGTACATACGGACATAAGCCAAAAATGCTGTGCGCCAAAAAAAAAAAAAAAAGACAATTTCTACAATCAGACTTCCACCTCACAATCTGCGTCGCCAATTTCCTGTCTCCAAAATGTCAAAGTTTCTCCCGTCAAGTCTGTTTTTATAGATCGCAACTTTTCCTTAGGAAGTGGCGTACACCTCTTTTAGGCCTCATTTTTTGCGTATGCAATGTTTATTAGTGAGACCCCTGGTATTAACATGCATTTCGGTGATCTGAATACAAGTAGACAGTCATATTGCTGTTCATAATGCATCTCCAGCTGACCACTTATGTTCAGCTTTCGTAACTGCCCCGCATAGTTATTACTTCCACACTTTTGCTAGCTACTCCATACCATGCTTGCTAGTTACATTAGTGGCTGTGTCAGTAAAGCTGGAGATAACGCTGTCAGCAGCACTCAACATGTCTCCTTACCTAGGGCAGAACAATTGACAGTCCTATATCACTTCATCCAACTTGGCATAAAATGTGCAAGTTATAGAGCTTCTAGCACACTGTCACCAAAACAGCTGTGTCCTTGTTATGATAGCTTTATTTGTAGTTTAATGAATGTCTTGTAGATGTGGGTGTGATTTAGACAAGTGGTAGGAGGCAGGGTCAACACTGACATCACACCTAGCACCCGTCGCACCTGGGGAGAGAGCTGGGAAGGCCTCTGAGCTGAACAGGCACACCATTTGAAAGATGACGAAGGCAAGACATTCTGAAGACAAAGAGACTGAGAAAGCGTTTGACACACCACCACGAATTATCCATGTAAATACACCTTTCGCATCTATCTTTCAGGGGTTTTTTTCTTGACTGTGTATCGTACATCAATCTGTGTCCCTTCTCTAAATTCTAAGGTTTTTGCGGGTCTGTGAACACAGTGCAGGCAGAGCTCTTCTGTTTTTTCCCTAAGCAGCTGTTGTGGATTTTTCAGTGGCAAGATGAATAATTGATCAGTCGATCCGATCAAAGCTGATCAGATCGATGGATGAGAGGAGCAGCTGCTGTGAGTGAACGCAAACTTTTTAGACTCAGGGCATTAACTTTCACTCACTCTGCGCTGCAAGAGTGTGTGGATGCAATGAATAACAGAACTGTATATATATCTAAACGGCCCAGGAAGATGTTGCATCTACCAGCAGCCAGCAACCGTAAGTTTAATTATCCAGTGGGAATCTGTCTAGGACGTCAGCTGAGTAGGCAGTCCTTCATAAACACTGCTGAAAGAATGTGGCCATATGACACCCAGACCACCTCTAAATGTAGTCAGAGTGATCAGATCTTAAGACACATCGAGGACGCATTGTGTTCATTCACACGTGTACTGAGAGCTGTCCACTTGAGATCAGATCACCTAGGTTGCATGTTAATACCAAGTGTGCACAGGGCCAAAAACACAAGGTGAGTTGCAAAAGGGGCAGTTGGGGTGCTAGTGGGCTCTATAGAAAATCAGGTAGTGTACCTTTCAGTCACTGAGCTTTTTCTAACATGACCAGTATTTTGGGGTTTCAGATGAAGCAAGTGCAGATGCACAGACAGGTTTTTTTTTTCATGAAGAGTCCTCTCTAAAATCAAAGTTTGGCTAAACCCCAGGACAGAAACTCACATGAACACAAGGTAATCACAGCACAGGCATATCTGTGGGTTTCCATTGAGCTGAGTGAAGCAGTATGAAGTGCTCCATCAGCTCTCAGTGCTTCTTCATGGAATCCAGGAGACGAAGGATGTGCAGGAAGAGGTTGACAATGTCCAAGTAGAGGTTGATGGAGGCCAGGATGTGCTCCTCGGGAGAGAGCTGCTTCATCAGCAGGTGGGTGTCGTAGATGATGAAGCCGCAGAAGACCAGGGCTCCGGCTCCGGCCATGACCAGCTCTGTGCTGTCACTGTTGAAGAAAAACTGCAGAGAGAACAGAGTCAGCATGAATACTGGGCTCCTGTGTGATGTGACGTGGAACTTTGCCTACAACATGGAGTGGTTATTCTAAGAGTTGGAATATCAGTGTTCTTTACGAAATGGCCATAAGTATGTGGACAACTCTGTTCCACAGCCTCCTCTATAGAGTTGGGCAATTACTCTAAAAGTTATTTCATTATGAGTCTCTAACCAACCGAATTTCAGTCACATCCTTATGTTACAACATACCCAACAGTTCTCAGTGACATAGTTAACGATGCATGTGCAAGTGTGTGATGGAGAGGCGGTGCAGACTGAATTACGCTGCCTATCAGTAGTGAAAGTGCATATGTGTTAAGTAGAGTAGAGTTACAGTTTGTCAGAGAACAAGTGCTACAGCGCTTTGAAAACCAGTTTGTTTGATTAGCAGCAGCTGATGTTGGATATCTCAGTAGTGATTCACCTGCTGCCCCCTTTAGCTCTGTCCCTGTCCTTTCCCTGAACAGGCCACTGTCCAGCAGCAGTGGCTGGTGATTATTTAGCTGGGTGGGGCTAACGGCACTGAGGGCTCCTGCTTACACACTAACAATCAGTACGTTTACATGACATCAGAGAAAATCAAGTTATTGTGTTTGTCCAACTAAAACCGTACTTTTAAAAATTTAAATCATACTAAATCAAATTTCTCAAAGTCCGACTAAAAAAAAATAATGCAATTGGGAGTCCAATTACTCCGGCACGTATACAGTCGATCAGACCCAAAATGAACTCTGCGCATGCTCCACAGTTTCCACCCCGGGCTTTGACCAAAAGGTCAAATAGCAATAATTGCGTAACAGAAGAAGGAGTCAGTAACATAATGGCCAAATCTACATCCAGCGTGCATCTCATCTGTACAAAAAGTAAAGCCTACAGCACGTACAAAATGTACAGAGCTGTACAACCATGGTTGTCAACCATGGTACCAGTTCGCCGCTAGCTAACGTAGCAAACTTGTTTGTCCATTGTTTGGTCTGTGACGTAATAGGTAGACTGGAAGAAGGTCTAATACTAACAAGCTGAAAGGGGGCATATGGCCATGTATCATAGCGGAGTCGCACATACTTCCATCAACAAATCAATTCCCCTCCCGTGCTTGTATACTGGGACAAGTACAGTAGTCCAATTAAATGGCCTAGTTGAGCTATAACCGTAGCTCCACTTAACTGTGCATGTAAATGCACTGAATGTTGTCATCCAGCTTGGAGCACTAACCTTTGACTCCAGCTATACTTTACTGTTACAATTACTAACAGATAAATTGGATCATACACTTTTAGAGCCAAAATTCTGCAAATTGTTTTGACGGAGGAAAAACCCCTAAAAATAGGCAATGGGCTCCTTTCCCAATAGTCATAGACCAGAGCCATGTACAGGGCTGTGCAGTGGACGAGCATGCCATTGTTTTTTTTGTTGTTTGTTTGTTTTTTTTGTATTGGTTTGTCACATACGGACTGGAAAAAAAGTTAGTAAATAGTTGAAAGCAGCACATGCTCTATACTGTCAATAATTCAGTCAGGATTCCGCAAACTAGAATTGTTACTGCTGTCATGAAGGTCATAAACAACATAACCGAAGCACTAGATAACAAGCAATGCTGCCCTTGTCTTTCTATAGACCTCTCTAAGGCCTTTGATACTACTGACCACAATATTCCAATCATGCGCGAACAGAAATTGTTTTTTCTGAGCATGCAGTTGGGTCGTTTACAAACTATCTAATTGACAGAACGCAAGCTATTAAGTTATAGGGTGCCACCTCGGAGGTACTGCAAATCTTCATGGTGGTATCACAGGGGTCGGTTCTGAGCCCTGTATTATTTACAATATACATTAAATGCATTGGGCAGAATTGCTATACACCCACCTTTCCTAAGGCTTTTGAGTCTCTTAAGTATGTATGTGACAGAGTACAAGAGCAGCTTTGTCAAATGTCAAACCGGAGTTGCTGACTGTAAAAACAGTTAAGAGATAAAGCCCCCCCTGCGCATCACATATGAAATGTTCAGGTGTCTACATACTTTTGGTAATGTAGTACATACCATAACAGCACAATACTTGCCTTGAGCATAGCCATGCTCTTCATTCACAGCCATGTAAGTGTTGTTACAGTGTGTTGTGTTTTGAACACAGACAACAAATGAGTTTTCCAATAGACAATACAAACAATCCCTATAACTGCCCATACTGACAGTGTGTGTGGTGTGTCTGCTGTTGTGTGTAAGGCTCCTTCCTGTCGCCACACAGTCATGAAGAGGTGTCATCCAATTTAGGATACATGTAAAAGTGAAACATGTTTGAACTTGAGTGGATGTGTCTTTACCTAACTTTGCAGTGCCTACAGCCGATCTGTTTGCTTCCTTTCACACTTTCGACTGACTCAGTATGCATTAGTGTGTGTGTGTGTGTGTGTGTGTGTGTGTGTGTGTGTGTGTGGCCTTGCTGTTGATGCTATAAACGTCACAACACAGAGGAATCAAGCAAAAAAAACATGGAGTCTTGTGGCAAACTAGAATTACTGCCTTAAGGTTATATGTCTCTGCGAACTAGTCAAGGTGCAGTTACAGTCTACATCCATGTCTATCCAGTATCATATACTGAACAAAAATATAAACGCAGCACTTTTGTTTTTGCTCCCATTTTTCATGAGCTGAACTCAAAGATCTAAAACATTTTCTATATACACAAAAGACCATTTCTCACAAATATTGTTCACAAATCTGTCTAAATCTGTGTTAGTGAGCACTTCTCCTTTGCCGAGATAATCCATCCCACCTCACAGGTGTGGCATATCAAGATGCTGATTAGACAGCATGAATATTGCACAGGTGTGCCTTAGGCTGGCCACAATAAAAGGCCACTCTGAAATGTGCAGTTTTGCTTTATTGGGGGGGTCTGGGGGGGTCAGAAAACCAGTCAGTATCTGGTGTGACCACCATTTGCCTCACGCAGTGCAACACATCTCCTTCGCATAGAGTTGATCAGGTTGTTGATTGTGGCCTGTGGAATGTTGGTCCACTCCTCTTCAATGGCTGTGCGAAGTTGCTGGATATTGGCAGGAACTGGAACACGCTGTCGTATACGCCGATCCAGAGCATCCCAAACATGCTCAATGGGTGACATGTCCAGTGAGTATGCTGGCCACGCAAGAACTGGGATGTTTTCAGTTTCCAGGAATTGTGTACAGATCCTTGCAACATGGGGCCGTGCATTATCATGCTGCAACATGAGGTGATGGTCGTGGATGAATGGCACAACAATGGGCCTCAGGATCTCGTCACGGTATCTCTGTGCATTCAAAATGCCATCAATAAAATGCACCTGTGTTCATTGTCCATAACATACGCCTGCCCATACCATAACCTCACCGCCACCATGGGCCACTCGATCCACAACGTTGACATCAGCAAACCACTCACCCACACGACGCCACACATGCTGTCTGCCATCTGCCCTGAACAGTGAAAACCGGGATTCATCCGTGAAGAGAACACCTCTCCAACGTGCCAGACGCCATCGCCAATGTGAGCATTTGCCCACTCAAGTCGGTTACGACGACGAACTGCAGTCAGGTCGAGACCCCGATGAGGACGATGAGCATGCAGATGAGCTTCCCTGAGACGGTTTCTGACAGTTTGTGCAGAAATTCTTTGGTTATGCAAACCGATTTTTGCAGCAGCTGGCCAGGTGGCTGGTCTCAGACGATCTTGGAGGTGAACATGCTGGATGTGGAGGTCCTGGGCTGGTGTGGTTACACGTGGTCTGCGGTTGTGAGGCTGGTTGGATGTACTGCCAAACTGTCTGAAACGCCTTTGGAGATGGCTTATGATAGAGAAATGAACATTCAATTCACAGGCAACAGCTCTGGTGGACATTCCTGCAGTCAGCATGCCAATTGCACGCTCCCTCAAAACTTGCGACATCTGTGGCATTGTGCTGTGTGATAAAACTGGACATTTTAGAGTGGCCTTTTATTGTGGCCAGCCTAAGGCACACCTGTGCAATAATCATGCTGTCTAATCAGCATCTTGATATGCCACACCTGTGAGGTGGGATGCATTATCCCGGCAAAGGAGAAGTGCTTACTAATACAGATTTAGACAGATTTGTGAACAATATTTGTGAGAAATAGTCTTTTGTGTATATAGAAAATGTTTTAGATCTTTGAGTTCAACTCATGAAAAACGGGAGCAAAAACAAAAGTGTTGTGTTTATATTTTTGTTCAGTGTATGTAGCCATGACAGTTGACAGTGCTTTCAATGTTGCTGCGAAAGAAGCTGCATACTGTAAACGTAGATAATTCACGCATTTTAGAATATGCATTCGTTCAGATTTAAATTAATTAGTGTCACCAATTCAGTGTCTAACCAATTGTCTCCCCTTCTGTTCCTGAGTTATGGAGTTAAATAATAGCCAGAAAAGTGTTTGTGCAGAACATTATAATGGCACAGTGAAGGTGACCTTTGACCTTTTGGATATAAATTGTCATCATTTCATCATCTTCTCCTATTGGACATTTGTGTAAAAATTTGTCATATTCAATGTATGAATTCTTGCATTATGGCCAAAAACATGTTTTTGTGAGGTCATGGTGACCTTGACCTAGTCAGTTTATCCTTGCACTCAAGTGGACATTTGTGCCAAATTTGAGGAAATTCCTTTGAGGCCTTCTTGAGATACTGCTCTCACGAAAATGAGACAGACGCAACTGACCTTGACTTTTGACCACCAAAATCTCATCAGTTCATGTTTGAGTCCAAGTGGACATTTGAGCCAAATTTGAAGAAATTTCCTCATGGCGTTCTTGAGATATTGTTTTCTCAAGAATGACACAGATACAGGATCACAGTGATCTATAAACACCAAAATCTAAGCAGTTCACCATTGAGTCCAAGTGGACATTTTTGTGAAATTTAAGACGATTCCCTCAAGGCTATTGTACTCATGAGAATGAGAGGAACCAAGATCACAGACACCTTGCCCTTCAACCGCCAATTTTTTGTCAGTTCTTCCTTGCATCTAAGTTGACTTTTTTTGCCAAATTTGAGGGAATTCCCTTTAGACCTTCCTGAGATATTGCGTTCACGAGAATATGATAGACACAGGGTCACAGTGACCTTTGACCACCAAATCTAATCAGTTCATTGTTTAGTCTAAGTGGATAATTTTGCCAAACTTGAGGAAGTTCCCTCAAGGCGTTCTTGAGATATTGCATTCACAAGAATGGGATGGATCTGTGTATATACAGACGGACTGACAACCTGAAAACTATGGAGTTAGATTTGTCTCATTAATACCTGTAAATGCACAGAGGGTGATCTACAAATATTTCTTGATCTGCACGTTTCATAATTATGTGTGTGAACAGATCAACTATCTGTGTGTAAATGTGTAATCTGTAAATATAAAACACATTCCACAAATACAAAAAATATCTGTGAATACATTAAATTAATTTGCAAATAAATGAAAAACATTTGTGAATATCTTCCTAACATTTGAACTCAGTTTTTATTTGTGAATCGAAAAAACATTTGTGGATCTTAGTTCTACGCATGTGGATTTGCTTTTTACACACATGGATTTTTGAGACAAAATTTCCGCCGGTCCGAACGAAAATGCACTCGATGCGGGCTGGGGGGACGAAAGCAGGGTGCAGCATTTTATACATTGTTAATAGACCAGAAGTCAGTACCATCCAACCTGTAAAAGATAACTTGTGTCATGTTTCACTTACCATTGCATTTATTGTAATCATGCACCATGCATTTGTTGTTTTTAGCATAATTGGTATTTTCTATATGTATAATCAGTTGGCAGTTGTCTTTGTTTGGCCAGCAGACCTGCTACCACCATCTACTGGTCAAAGTGTTTTTGTGTCATCATGACTTATGGCTCTATTGAAACTAGAAAACTCAGCAGTTAGAACATAGACTGCATGGATTAGATCAGATGTAGGTAGGCCTACACTTATATTTTGCATTTTTATTCATTCTTATGAATACAAATATATTTTATGAATAGCTGTGTTTAATTTCTATTATTGTTTAACGATAAAATGGTCTTTTAAATGCTGTGCTGAAAATGTCTAAATCTTAAACCCCATAATTTACTACTGATTACACTAGCATTGAAAGGTTGTGGAGAGATGTCTGGATGTCATTCACCATCATCTTCTACTGTGGCCCTCTTTACAGGTTGGATGGTACTGACTTCTGGTCTATTTACAATGTATAAAATGCTGCACCCTGCTTTCGCCCCCCCAGCCCGCAACATAAATGTTTACTGTTGCCATGGCAGCAGATGCTGCTTCAGTAGCTAACTACAATATTACATTTCTAAACAAAAAGAGCTACCAACACCAACAGCTGTTCTATCAAAGATCTTAACCAGGGTGTTGCCACTTGTTATATCTTACAACAGTTAATGTAACCTCACTGAAACGATGTAACCTAACTAAACACGGTGCAGTCAGCACAGACATTACAACTAAATTAGTAAGAGTATACTAATAATAAGATGTGAAGTGCTTTGTGACTTTAATCCTACTCGAAATGAAAAATATAAAGGATGAGTTGGCTGATAACTGCCAACTGAAGAAGCAGCCAAGCCACCGTGCCTTTCATACTCACAGAAATGTATACAAAAGTGTGTGCCAGATACATAGAACAAATAAACACACACTAATACTCACTGTATGACATTAACATAAAACAATGAATGCACGTTACTTATCGCTGATTATTATTAAAAAAAGCAACAACAAAAAACAGCTCATAGAAAGACTGCGTGCTCTTACTTTCACATGCAGAAATGACATCATCAGCTGGGTGATCACGTGCTATCCAAAGATGGCCAAGTGATACGAGTGCATTTTCGTTAGGACGAAAACGCGTAGAACTGAGATCCACAAATGTTTTTTCGATTCACAAATAAAAACTGAGTTCACAAATGCCTGTTCAAAAGTTGTAAATGTTAGGAAGATATTCACATATGCTTTTCATTTATTTGCAAATTAATTTAATGTATTCACAGATGTTTTTTGTATTTGTGGAATGTGTTTTATATTTACAGATTACACATTTACACACAGATTGTCGATCTGTTCACACACATAATTATGAAATGTGTGCAGATCAAGAAATATTTGTAGATCACCCTCTGTGCATTTACAGGTATTAATGAGACAAATCTAACTCCATAGAAAACATAATGGCTCCAGCCATGGCTAGTGCCGGTGCGGAGGAATAAGAAAATGGAATCTGGCTTAATGCAGCAACATCTGACAAGGTGTTTTACTGGCCAAACAGATACATGTAAGTGACTACTCCTGGTACATTAAATTCTAATAGATACAAAAAGTGGAAAATAGAATTTCCCTGTGATAATTATACAGAGTTGTACAATCCTTTCTCGTAGTATTCTAAACCACTGTGCAGTGTTTTGGTGTCTAATAAGCCTTTAGACTCAGCGAACTGTTACTCACAGCACACCTGTTGGGTCATGTTTCACGTGTAGCAACACGTCCAAAGCTTCACAACCTCTTTTCTGCCTGACTGCAGCTTTCTTCTTTGTCTTTTTCTCATTTTTCATTTCTTTCATATGAAACAGACACATTAATGTCACTTACCCTCATGAAGCTTGCAATGAGGAGGATCCACAGGCAGGCAAACAGTCTGTAAAGACACAACAGATCAGATGCTGTGATAGTGCCTCCCTCTAGCGGAGGGACACAGCAGCTTTGTTAAAAGAAAAACAACACTGAGCAGTAGCCAGAACACACTCACCCTGCTCCCAATTTGCTGAAGTCTCTCTTGGACTGAAACGTGTAGATTGTCAATCCAGCAAACACAGCACAGGTCAGGAACAAGGCTTGCAGCACAGTGGAGTATTCATAGAAGGTCACTGTGGAGAGGAAAACTCTGCAGTCAGCTCAGTCTGCAAATGGGCTCACAGAATGGAAACTGACCCACTCCTTAAGAAAAATACTCACATGCTGTGGCCACAGAAACTGCTTCCAACAGAGTCTGAAAACAAGACACAATTAGTGACGCTTACACGCTAACAAGCTAGGAGCTAATATAACAAGCTACTGTAAAGATCATAGTCACTGAGCGGCTAGTCTAGCATCATAAGAGACAGGATATGGAAATAAATGGAAGGAATACTGTAAATACACATAGTAGGATTTACTGTCGTGCATTCACCAACCAGCTGGTCTCAATTTTACAAAGATAAAACAATTAACTACTTCCCGAGTGTATTTTAGCACTTCTTAGGCAGTTCTTAGGATTGTCATTTCCTGACAAAACTAGGCTTACAAAAAAAAAGGCTGTTGCTAAAACGGGAAGATGACTTTGCCAGTGACAATAAAATGAGCAGACTTTTCCTGGCAGATGCACAGAGACCTCCAGGTGGTATCATATGGCTAACTTACTTACCAAAAATAATTATAAATTGACAGGAAATATTAATTTAAGGGTAATTTCACACCTAACCTGTTTGGTTCGGTCAAAACAAACTCAGGTCCATTTGCATGGTTACTACGGTTTGTTTGGGCTGGTGTGAAAGCTGTCAATCGAACCCTGGTGCAGATCACACAATCCAACCAAGACTGCTTGAAAAGGTGAGTCACAGTCCACTTCCAAATGGACTCTGGCGCGGTTCGTTTGTGGTGTGAGAGAAATGACACATACACTAGAACGGCAATCTAGTGACTGTGGATTATGTCCGACTATTAACCACATTCAAATTCTCTGTTTGAGAAAGATCACCAATGGAGAAACACTGGCTGGAGTGGGGCTTTAACAGAAAAAAAATTGGCTTACAAATACGAGCAGCAGGTAGAGGTTGACTGGATGTTGGTGTCTGTACATGGCCAGAGCCAGCAGAAGAACCAGAGAGCCCAGAGCCGAGACCAAAACCACCGCAGGACTGAGAAGGAAACAACATCACAGTCAGACAACACAGCCAACACTAGCTCCATGGACATAATTCATAAAAAATGTTTATGACCAACAATTCTAACAGTGGTTTTTAAGAAAGAACAGATGATTGTATATACAGGATGTGCATTGGGGTGGGTGGAAAAAAACGATACAGCATAGTATCCCGATATTTTGTGTGTTATATCAATAATCACAGACAAAGATATCGATCTTTTGTTAAATTCATTATTAGTTTTTGCAAATACACATTTAAATGCAACTTTTGGTACTAGAATAATAAAATAAATTGCTTTTTCAGTCCACAAGATGATGCTGATGTTTTCATTCCTGGTGGGGTCAGCAGAGGTCTCAGTCAGCAGCATTTCACAGGAAAATCAGAAATGCGCCGTCAGCGTTTAAATCAAACATCTGAACTTATTTTGGATTTTATCACACAGTTCAGTTTGTCAGGTGTATGCAGTAGGTTTTATGATGGTGTTGGTCAGTCTGTCAGCTTCGCATCACATTTGATTGAAAATGGTCAGATGAACAGACTGAAAACTTTATCTTATGAGGTAAAACTGATGTTGACAAAGTTTTCCTTTGGGGAAATAATTTGCAGTTGGAAAAAAAGGTAATAAATTGCAATATATTGCAAAAATATTTTATCCCAATACTCAGCATATCGCAATACATTTAATATTAGAATAATATAAAGTGTGCCAGTAAACCCGGAACTCCGTTAGCGTTTTTAGCACTTCCGGTTCTCTCGTCTAAAAGTCAATACGTTTTTTGAATGGGATTTTGGTAAAATGCCTCAAATAAGGTCTGTGGTTAACAAAAGCGTAAGCGAGTTTCAGGTTTTGTTCTACGACATAAAACACGTCAGTAAATACCCTACTTGTGAATTTTGAAGCTTTTACGTGTCGTAAAAAAGGCGGTTGCTAACAAGTTGCTCAATACGACTACAAACCCTGTCGGGGACATTAAACGTCATCACCCCCGAAGAGGCGAGAGTGCTGGCAGTCCGCCATTACAGCTTCTTATTTAGCTTAAACATTCCGATTTCCCCATTAGGCCTATACAATGTTTTTAAGATAAAGCGGCCGAAATCAGTTGAAAGCTTAGTGGCGGTGACGTCAAGAGTCATGCGACCGTGGAGTAGTCATGTAGTCCATTAAAGCCTAACGTTAGCTTTTTATTTCTGGCGATCTCATTTAAGCTTCAAATGCAGTATGAAAGGTGTTCATATGTGAAGATTATCTCGCTGAACAAAACCTATAAGTATCATAAACTTGTGTTAGCCACAGAGCTTATTTTCTGACATAATCCAAAATGCAATGCAAAAATCACATTGACTTTCTCTTCCGGGAACCAGCGTGATGCTAAACTTCCGGGTTTTGACGTCAGCCCTGGCACACTCTATTGCATCATGACCAAAGTACTGTGATAATACCGTATCGTGGGTCCTCTGGTGATTCCCACCCCTAACGTGTATCACGTTTTCCATAATAGCCAAAACAGGACTATCTCACAGTACAAAAAAATCTGCACTGTCTGGTAATCTTGATTTTTTTTGTGATTTGGGTAAAATGGCCCTTTAACATGTATGGGTTTGCATTTGAATATTATTGTATATGTTCAGCAACTAATGTGTGTTGATGTTAGTTCTCACAGTCACTACCACAGACCACTGAACAAATAGAGTGGATTCCTGAAGAGCTTATCTGAGTTATAACACACAAATAAATATATTCATATTCGGGGGTGGGGGTGGGGGAGGGGTGGGGGGGGGGGGTATTATAGATACAGAGGGAAAAGTCCATGATTCACTAAGCTTTCAATGTTAATTTCACTGAGTCAAGAAGCTATCATTTCTCATCTTGACGTCTCATCAGACCAGCCTTACCTGGTGTGGACAAACTCCTTGATGGTTTGAGAGAACATGAAGAGGGCAGAGGTGGCTGTGGTCAGAATGATCTGCAGGCTCAGGAGGGTGTACACCTTCCTGAGGAAGTCTGATTGACAAAGACAGAAACAGAGACACAGCAGAAGTAAAACTCAGCTAGATTGCACACTTATTTGTGAACCACAGATAACACCCTTTGAATGAGACAATATCACCAGCTTGTTTTAAAGAAACAGTTCACCCCAAAATCAAAAACACACATTTTTTTCTCTTACCTGTAGTGCTATAATCAGTCTAGATATTTTTGGTCTGAGTTGATGATGGAGATATCGGCTATATCGAGATTATCTTGTGTAGCCGGGTCATGCTTTCTGGAAACAGACATTGCTGTTTTGCTTCTTTTTTAGGCACTTTGAGCACAAGCTTAGTGCTATCTAATTCCATTATTATACTGGAGAGAAGGCAGACATCTCTACAGCCAATATCTCCAATACTCTGCAACTCGCACCAAAATTATCTAGACTGATAAACATCACTAAAGGTAAGAGGAAAAATATGTATTTGAGATAAGGGGGTGAACTGTCCCTTTAACCTAACAGCAGGCTTACTTATATGCCAACCAGTATTAACAGCTGTGTTTTTATGCTGAGTTTGGACCAGTACGAGCAGCTCCGTTAACTTAACAGTGGTGATACGGGCAATACTCAAGGCAACAACGTCAGGGAGGCTATTCTATCAGTGTTATCCATATTTATCCCATATATCAATGCTATCAACGTTATGACTGCAATGCTATGCTAACGTTAACTATTAGCTGCCCTAATGTTTAACCAGCGCCATCGAGCTAATAACGTTAACGTTACTGTGCTGACTTTTTGGGACACAAAGGTAATAAATGGTTAACGATAGCTCAAATAACAACAATAACCTGACAGTGGCAGTAATGTATAATTCCACAGTAAGTAAATGCTACCTATCGTTAGCTGACGTGGCTAGACTAGGTGCTGTCAACACCACGACCCAAACATTTCTTTACTTACCCATCCGTATCTGAATACTGGCTGTAGCGACATTCGTGCCATAGTTAAAGTCGTCTTCAATGGAAGACCGGGGGTATTTTTCACTACTCATGGTGTTACTGTAATGTTTTCTCAGCTAGATAAAGAAAAGTAGCTACTGAATGGTGGATTTGCGTGATCAACGCAACGCCAGGACGCTCAGGCGAGACGTCAGCGAGCTGTTTAAAAAAAAAAAAAAGCGCTTTTTTTTGTACAGTGAACAATGCTGTGAACGAAATCATCTTTTATAAGACAGACATTTCTTTTTTATTTATTTTATTTTATTTTGCAAGCATAAATGTGTGTGTACGTGTGTAAACCTAACATGATGTAGGAAAGAAACAACCTTCTGTCGTGATAAACAATGCTCTTTTGTTTTAAGGATTGTAGAACAACAGGATCAACAGCTCAGCAGGGTGACTCAGTGACACATGACTTATAAGAGACACGCATAGGGAATCAGTATAAGTATCAACATTGTCTCAAATACACTAACCCTGAGGAAAAAATGGTGCCTTCTTTATGGAATTCTGATTTTATATTGTAAACAAAAAAGTATTTCTGCTGCTGAAGGGAAAGCAATGAAATCCAGGCCTGGTTCCAATGTCAGCTACAGACTTCCTGTCCTTGACTAGTCCATGCGGGTTCAGGGTTAACCTCGGTGAAATTGTCATGTGCTCTGGTGGCCTTTCTGAGACTTTTCTGTCCATTTTTTGTAAAGACAGGCTACCTGCAAAACACAGGCTGAGCAACTGGTTTATGCTCGTGTAGAGAGTCCACTCCATAACCAGCATGCTGATATCAGTGAGGCACCGTTGATCCAGTATTTAACAGTTCATGAACAAATCTGTTGCTGAAAATGTTATGTTTTCATCTTTATTTAGTAACCACAGAGAAACACAGAGCAAGTAAAGCTCAATTTCACTTTCTGTTTTGTCATCAACTGTCATTAAAGTATTGTTGCTGCATAACATGCTGGCAGGGGAAATCCAAAATCATAAAAACGCATGACACATTGAGAAAGCTTGCAAGACGACCAACACACCTAATACACATTTAAAACACAGCTTAATAGTAACAGCATTGCCAGATGTACCATAAGTAGGCCTATCATATTTTTACAATCATTTTGCCTCTGTATGATCAATAATGCCAGAAGTGCCATAATGTATGATAATTTGACAATTTTGTGATGTTTAGAAGGCCTAGCTGGTGTTAGTCTGTGCTGTCTCATTTCCTGACATAGTGAGAATAGCAAAATTTGGATCCTATGTCTGTGTTGACATACATGCCTATATGTTGTTGTAGTTATGACTAATGTGTGATAATTTTCCTCAAAAGATGATGATTGTAAGCCTCTGGTATGATCGTTTAACATTTCCCATCTGGCAGTACTGAAAAGTGCGATGGAAGATTAGGGCAAGGTTAAAAAAAGTTTGATTTTGAGAATAACGTAGTAAATCTGCGAGAATAAAGTTGGAAATCTCCAAAAACAAAGTCATAATATTACAAGAATAAATTCGTAAATCTAGGAGAATACAGACGGAAATCTTCAAAAGTAAAGTTGTAATATTACAAGAATAAAGTATTAAATCTACAAGAATAAAGTCTTATTATTACAAGAATTAAGTCGTAAATCCACTTGAATAAAGTTGTAAATCAACTTAAGTCACATACATGTGCTGACCAAAATTAAACAAAATTACAAAATTTGGGTAACTCATAAGGTTCCTCTTTTGCTTGACATGTTTTCCCCACAACATGCTATTATTATTAGCTATAGCCTATGACACTTCCCATTGCATAAATTAGCCTAGTGGCTAGTGGACTTTTCCTCTTCTCATTTGAAGCCAGGAACAACAGCAACATTTAGCCTAACAAAGGTAACATTACAAAATTCAGCTCTATTATAACTCACAAGGTTCATCGACAAACAAATGTCCAATACTAGACATGTTTTACCAACATATACAACATGCTAACATTATTAGCAATAGCCTATGACATTTCCTATTACCTAAACTGGCCTAGTGGCTAGCAGACTTTTCCCCTTCTCATTTGAAGCTGGGAATAACGGCAATATTTAGCCTAACAAAGGTAACATTACAAAATTCAGCTCCATTATAACTAACAAGATTCACTGACAAAACAAATGTCCAACACTAGACACATTTTCATAACATATACAACATGCTAACCTTATTAGAATATGCCTATGACATTTCCCATTGCATTAATTGGCCTAGCGGCTAGCAGCCTTTTTCCTTCACCCTTATGAAGTGAAGATAAATTACACATGGTTCTCAACCAGGGGTCCAACAACCCCAGCATTATTCGAGGGAGTTCTAGAGGGTGCCCAGAAATTAGGGAAATAGTATATTTTTTAGCTATTTAATTCACTATCGACATACGCTCTACAAAGTAAGAGTCATAAGGGTGACTATTTTGATCATAGGTTTAACGTCCTCTTCTCAACTGTAGTTGACAACCTAGAATTCCGGTCTTTATCATATGCAGTGTTGTAGCTGAGAAGTTGGGTACCATTAGGTAGATAAGTAGGTTACCAAGGAGAAAGTGGGTATACTCTCCTATATATTCTAATAGGTTTTTGGCTGAATACTGTAAATGACCAGAAAAAGAGGTGAGTATACTCTGTATACCTGCGTATACCCTCCGCTACACCACTGATCATATCTAACCACCAAAATCTTTTCAGATGGAGGTCCCTTAAGCAAAATCTTATCAAATGGGGGCTAATGACCTAAAAAGTATCAAATTAGGGGTCCATGACACGCAAAAAAGGTTGAAAACAGGCGCATCAAAGACTTCAAATGCTATTTTGTGGGGGCTTTACTGTCTTTGCACTTCTTTGTCCTCTTTCCCTCATACATAATTTTTTCATCATTATTAGTCAGTGAGGGTCTGCTGAGTAGATGACTGTAGATCTGTTCCTCAGAGCAGGTTACTCATGCTGCATTCAGAGTGCAGGCCAGAGACGTTGCTCTTGAATTTCTGCTAGATTGTTGTTTGCTGCATAATTCTACAGTAGTATTATTATTATTTTTGGCTCGTAATGTGATAAACAACATTCATTTACGATGACAACAGGCTAAAAGAACTACATAGTATATTTTAATAGAAACTTTAAACCAGAAATTTTATTTAATCAAGAATACTTCTGCTTAAAATGGAAGGTTCAATATGGAGCAGAGAGAACAAAAATAAATGTGCCAATCTATTAACAATCTGTTAACAGTAAATCTTATTTTTGACCTTGCTTCTCACTACACCACTAACTTTTATTGTAATGATAACTGAATACAACACACGATTGTCACACACATGCACAAGGAGGTGGGGGAGACAGTGACAACATTCTGAGTTTTACGAGCAGCTCTGTATTCTTTAAATCTGTTCTGTGGGCGCAGAATCCATATGGGCCTGGATATCAGTGATGATCAATCAGTTTTATGACAACATGATTATTTCAATCATTTAATTTTAGAAAACAAACAAGAAGATAGGAGTTACACACACTCAAAAAGATTAAAGAAAAAAACAAAACACATACAGAAAAATACAGAAAAATGATATGTAAACATGTCTCAATATTTGTCTCACTGTGTCAAGTACACTAGTACTTTGTAACAAACACACAAGAAACATTAGGGGCATGTTACTGCTTATGATCACAAAAAGCATAGTTAATATTGAACGATATCTATCCTTCTGTGAACTGTAGGGTTGAAATACACTCTTCCTATCAGGAAGGCCCGGAGGTCATACTGACTTGTTCTTAGCAGCAGTTTTTCTGTTGACATTATGTGATGTGGGTATTCGGGGAGTTTCCACAAACCTTCCCTGTCCATGATTTCCCAAACCTGTTTGGCCATGTTTTACCTAGTAACAGTGAGATATGAATTAATGATTGGTTGATGTCATATAGTGGGCAGTCTTAGAGCACCCTATTACTCAGCTCGGCTCCACACTTTCACTTTAGTGGAGCCCTCTGAAGAAAGAGCGCGGTCGTACCTCTGTGTTACTCCTGCTTTTGACAAACAACAAAAGAAGAACTGATCAGACATGGACAAGATCCTTGTTATGTGTCTAGCTGCTCTGGTAGCTCTCGCCTGTGCAGAGGAGTCCAAACACAGTAAGTATTATCATTATCATTATTATTATTATTTTAATGCTGAAATGAAGAAAACTATATTTCAAGTAAAATGGCCTCCGACATTGACATCACAGATTAGTCAGACTGTATGTTTTCAATAGCCTGTATGCAAAATACAAACAGAAGATATGGTTTCTATCTTTAGTAAGCTGCCTGTGATCTGTTAGAAAGTAATGGAAGAGCTGATATGAGGGATGTCGTATGCTGTAAAGCCCTGTGAGGCAGATTGTGAGTTGTGATATTGGGCTTTATAAATAAAATTGATTGATTGATTGATTGATATAAGAGTCAAATGTAAAAGAGAAACATTATACAACATGTCTGTCATGTTTTTAACTCGGTGGAATTCCCCGAAACAGTCAGGCTTTAGTTTCGATTTCCTGTAATAGGCCTACCAGCTCTGTTGAGACAGCACCCTCCACTGGCCTCAGCAGGGTACACTCAGATCCTGTTGAGTGAGGATCCCTGCTGCAAACCAAACTCCAGAGACTGAACTTCAAAATTCTCAGTAAAAGCTTGAATGGAAAAAAGCACTGGTAAAAACCTATGTGTTTGGAGAGAGAGAGGTTAAAACTGTGGAGCATGTCCTCCATTGCTCCATTGTTCGGTCAGTTAATTTAAAATCAACAGGACCCTCACCTTTGTTGTGGTTACTTTCATTTTGATTGTACCATTTTGTTGAGGAGGGTGCACTTAGGGACTGTTTGTTACTCATGAGGGGGGAGGGTGTGATGCAAAAAAGGGGGAGGCACGTCAAATAATTTTTTAAGCGCTGGGGAGGGACTTGTGTTTTTGGTTTTGGTTTAGGGAAGGGACACACAACTTAAAATGGTTGTATTTTGTATTCCCCTTCAAACCATTGTGTTCTTTAAAGATTTCCAAAATAACCCCTTTTATCATAGCTACAAACTGAAAACAGAAATTATCATTGGATTTTCAAATATTTGACGATCCTTAAACACATTATATGCAACAAGCGCTTCCGTCAGAAAAAAGACATAACCAACTCTGAGCTTAAAATAGTGGTAAGTTATCAATATCACTTTATTCTACGCCTCATTTAAAAATATAAAAAAAGAATTCCCACCTTAGCCACCCCTCCCCTGGTAACTAAGAACAGTCCCTTAGTTTGTATTTGCTCATATGGCTGAAGACAAATGTGTGTTGAAAGAAGTCGTTCCATCGTGAGACTCCAGAACAGCTTCGTCGTTAACAACTTTCAAAAGCTGTTTCCTCATCTGGTGTTTTGATTGTGCTGGTGGACAGCGCTGTCTAACAATATCTCCTATAGGTGTTTGGTTGAGATTGAGACCTGATGGCTGTGAATTTTAAACATTTTCAGGCAATATATGCGTCATAGGAGTAAAGCAATTCATAACAAGTTACATTGAATTCAAGGTCATTTTCTTCTTTTGTTTGCAGATTAAATTGTTTACAGGGGAATTCTTTTCAGTTCAATTGTGGTCGGACCAGTTTAGCATAATTTCCCTCTCTGTGTTGCCACTAGGTCCGCCCAAGGTTCAGGTGTACAGCTATCAGCCAGGACAGTATGGCAAAGACAACACCCTGATCTGCCATGTGAGCAACTTCCACCCCCCTGACATCACCATCCAGCTCATGAAGAACGGAGAGGAACTCCCCAATGCCGAGCAGACAGACCTGGCCTTCGAGAACGATTGGCACTTCCATCTGACCAAGAATGTTGCCTTCAAACCCATGGGCGGAGACAAGTACAGCTGCAAGGTCACTCATGGGAAGACAGTGAAAGACTTTGCCTGGGGTGAGTTAGAACCAGCCAAAAATATTTGTGGAATGTCCTCGTAATCAATTGAAAATGGTCTAATAATAGTAATAAACTAAGTGCATACCTATGTAAAGGTCCAAAAGTTCTCTAAAGAAAAAGAGAATATCAATGTTATTTTATTAATAGAGAGTTAAAAAAAAAAAGTATCAGAAGCAGGTCTCCCGCAAAATACAAAGTGCTAGACAATTATCAGTCATTTGCACTTGATAAACTAAATATCCATTAATACAAGGGAGGACACATCCCCTGGTAAACCCCAGTTAATTATATAATAATATAATTAACATTTGGAGTAAATTATACAGCTCTGATTGTGTTATACATTGTGAATAATCATCGAAATTTTTATTATGGGTCCTTGAAAAAAAGTTTTTAAATTTTATCCATGACATGGTGTGGGAACAATGTGGGACAGAAGTAGCTTTCAGTAATTGCATATTTGTATAGTATACTATATATCTGAACTAGTTTAAAAATACATGAGCCAAAGTGAAATTAAATGCACTGTAAAGCCTGTTAAAGTATATGGAGAAAAGATTTAGTGTAAATGTTGCTTCACCAGTTTTTATGAGATATATACAAATGTCTGTTTGTTTGTTTTTTGTCTTTTTTTATAGAGCCAAACATGTAACATGTTAGCAGAGGCCCTGATTGGTGGATTGGTGAGTACATGTCTTCATTGTATAGCGTTCAGTGAAGCTACTTCACCCCTCTACACCAGGAGTGTCATACATGTGCGTAATGGTAGATGTTGATTTGTTATCTGCTATTTAATGTTGTGATTTTAATTTCTCTGCCCACAGACATGACAAATGCTTCGGCCCTGTTTGCAGCAGCTTTTCTTCTTCACCATCTCCAATCAACATGATCAGTTTCTCCAGTGCTTCTCAAATTTATTTTCACAAAATATACCGACAAACACATAACATATCAATTCTATTTAGGTGAATTTTCTCTTACCTTATGTGAGAGAATGCACGGGCTGCAGGGCATTTAGTCATTTGTAATTTTGCACTGTGTTGCTTAGAAAACTTGCAACTAATTTTCCATATTTTGATACTGAAATGTGTGTTTATGTATTAAATTGAAGTTTGTTCAGCTTAAAACGTGTTTCTATACGCAAACTGTTAAGCTTTTTTGACTCTGTCCTTTACCTAAATGAGGCGATGTAATTGGTCAGATTAATTACTGGTATGATGAGCAGGTGTTCTTTCTCGACCAGGTAGAAATGTGTTCTACAATTTTGATTTGTTATTTAATGTATTTGTAAATGCCCTGACAAAATAAAAGCCTCTTAAAAAGCCTGTGATGTCTTCATTTTGTAAACACAAACCTCTACAGTGTTTATAACAGGGATACTGATCTATAAAATCTATGATCTATGTTATCCTTATGGCTTTATGAAGAAGAAAACGGTCACACACCAGGGATCCATTAGGTGAATAAAGAAGTCTAAGTGTAAATCAATCACCCATGATTTTTTACTTTTCAGTAAAGGGCTCCACTTAGACACATTTGACCTTCATTGCTATACAGTGGGCAGTCTACTGCTGATTCTGCACGTGAAATGACAGATTCTCTAAAGACAATATTAAAACTTATTTTCTACCTAAGGAACGCTGTCCTTAAATGTATAGGCCCACACTATACATAATACTATTTTAGAAATATTGCTCTAGAGATTAAAAAGTTGCCTAAATGCGACCTCTCTGTATTGCAATACCGTCATTGATTGTACATAGGTTTGGATTATCTTCTAGAGTGTCTTGTCAATTAGGTTATACAGCTTAGTTTTATTTTTTACTTATTACAATTTAGCTTTCTTTTAGCTTTTAAACGGTAAAGCATTAACACGACGTGAGAGGGAAACAGCATTTTGATTCTTTTGTATGTCCTGCACATATAGTGAATTGACAATAAAAAACTTTTGAACTCAAACTTTAACAATCTATAATAATATGAGATATTTTTACAATCATATGATTAATATTTGGATGCTGGTTTTGTAATTACTTCAGGTTAATTATCACACTATAGCTGTAAACAAGCTACCTAAAATAGTGTGTGTTGGCTTCACAGTTTGTTTGGCACACAGCTATTTTCTAGTCCTTGAAAGGTTACAGAAATAAATATGTAACATCAAGATGTTTGCCTTCTTGACCTGCACTCACCTACTATTTAAAACATCTATAACTTTTTTTTTGGTGAGAGTAAAATTCCAGTTTGATAGTTTCAAAAGTAAAAAAAGAGGTGTGTGGACTAAATGTTTTGTAAAACTGTTGGATGGAGATATTGGAAATGTGTCACTGAAGCTACTTCAGCTTTCAGCTACATTTTCATATAAGATGTGAAGTTCTGTGATGAGTGATGGTTGCTGGCTTCCCCACAAACTAGGGTCAAATGTGAGGGGGGTTGTTTGGTACACTGTTTTTGGGATACCAGCCAATAGTTACAGTTACAGGTGTAACTGATGGTGTATCAGGTATAATCTGAATCATTTGCCAATGCCTCCCAACCCCACAGGCCCCAGTGCAACCGCACTGCCCTGCACTGTCTATATTTATGCCCCTAGACTCACTGCATCATCTTCAATATTTCTAAGTATCAAAAATACTGAGAAATGTCATGTAATTTGACAGGGTGACACACAATAGCAAAATAATGTTTTGGCACCTGGTAGCCTAAAAGCTGCTGGTGTCACTTCAGAAAAATGTCTAATTTTAGCTTAATTTTTTGTTCTACTTTACCTGAATTCATGAAGTACTCACTCAAACCCCTTTCCCATAACAAGTAAAGTGTAACATGGAAAATATTTTGATTGTCAGACAAACAGTTAATAAAATGCAAAATCCTAAAACCTCTATTGTTTTAACTGCAGTACTTTTATCACCCAAAAATAACAAATCAACATGCCACTTGCCACTTTTCACTCTTTGCTCTGCCCATCCTGGTCATTTCAGACCAATAAAAAAATATTGTTTAATGTTAAGCATATTTGTAGTAAGAAATCAGTTACATGTTTGCTGACTGGCTGCTAAAACCTTATTTGTTCCATTTTACCTGATGTCCCAAATTATCTGACTTCGCTCCTATTGTTTTGGCAAAAATGAATTAGTCCTGTTGATGAATTGCTTAAAATGTTGGTTCGTTTTTAAAATGGGCACATTATTTATTAAATGTTAATATTTTCTTAATCATATTTGAGTTAAACATTTTGAATAGTTTCTTAATTTTTTAGTAACTATAGCATTTTAAAATGTGCCAACCAATAAAACGTGTGCCAACCAACCCTGTGATTGGGCTGGTTTGCACAAATGTACATGACATAATCACAAATCACCTAATTTTATAAAGTATTATTGTACATCAAAACATACAGCTGAGACCTTAACCTTTTATTTCCTCCTGGTTAGTATTTGAATTTATGTTAGAATATATAAAGTGTGTCATTCGTGCGTGAGGAATGACAGCACTAAAACACCACATAACATATGAACTGGCAACTTCCAGACAGGTCAAACAAACATGGAGTGAGTCTGATGAAACTGCGCCACAGAAAGACAGCAACATGTCGGGGTAAGTTCTACCTAGTAACAAAACCTCTCGATTATTCCATTGGTTAGAATTCTCCCAAGGAAGAGGCCGAAACCTCCGGTGGGCGGGGTTAGCAGCGTTCTCTGGCTGGCCTCGCAGTTACACTGAAAAACAGTCGCTTTACTTTCGTTTTTGATAGCGAAGCAGTTAGTTATACAAAAATATTACATTATCTTATAGAGACCAACTAAAGGCGAAATCATGAAGGCAGTCGTCTCCGCGGTTCTCGTTGGCCTGCTGTATCTTCTCCCGTCAATGGCTAAAGATGGTAAGTAATCTACTGTATTTGTATAAGTAGCCTACCAAGATATTATCAAATGGCGCAGTGTTACTACACTGAGGGCCCTAAAATGGCTGGTAAGACCAGGCTGCTGGGTTTTCACAATAGGTAGCCTGTATGGTTAAGTGTCTACATTTACTCTAAATGTGAAGAAAATAAATAAATAAAGGAAAACTTTTGAGCGGTGTGTCAGAATAGAGCTAAACTATCACTTGAATTTAAAGGTCATGTTAATCGAGGCGCTGTGACGGTGTGTACGGCGCGCCGATTGTTGACTGAAATTAACAGCAACACTCCACCACATTTAGCTCCCAACAATGATTACAAAAGTGCTTTGGTTTCTTAAAAATGGTTTTTAACCAGATTTACAGCAATATTGTGAACTTTGTCAAAGTTACGCTATTATACGCGCGCGCACACACACACACACACACACACACACACACATACACACATCAAATGTAATGCCAATGTTAAATCTCAATGCTAATTTAAATGTCAAATCTAAATATAAATATTAAATGTAAATGTTAAATATAAATATTAAATCTTAATGTTAAATTGTTAATCTATTTGCTTGGTTAAACTAAATGTTTAGCTAATAGGCAATTTAACACTGCTAGATATAGATTTAGAATTTATGTATGTATTTAGATTCAATGTTTAGATTTAAATTAAACATTTAGATTTAGTATTGGAATTACATGTAACCTTTTATTTTTACAAGAAAAGTAAATATGTCAAAGTTCAAATTTTGCTGTCAGTCTGGTAAAAAGTGACATCACTTTTGGAAACGTTGTGGTGAAATCTTGTTAATTTTGGCGTGTGTGAGGCCACTGCCTAAACAAAAAGCCTACCACACCAGGTTATTTCGTACATGTTATTGTCATATTATGATCAGTTTGGTTGGTGTTACTAGGCCTACAACACAGGGAGCTATAATTTATTGAATTGAGCATGTAAATGGAATCTGCATTAGTTTGTGACAGCTTTATTTTCAACAAATCCTCTCTGTACATGTGTGAACGTTTTTCTGTTTCTTGGTAGCTTTACCCATAGTTCAGGTGTACACTCGAGAACCAGGAGAGTTTGGCAAACCCAACACCCTGATCTGTCATGTGAGCGGCTTCCACCCACCAGAAATCACCATCGAGCTTATCAAGAATGGAAAGGAGAATCTCGGAGGAAACCAGACTGACCTGGCCTTCGAAGAGAACTGGCACTACCACCTAACCAAACATGTGCGCTTTACCCCAATCAAAGGAGAGCAGTTCACCTGCAAAGTGACTCATATGGGAACGACCAAAAATTTCGAGTGGGGTATGTATCTGTCTCTGATGGTTTTTCTGTCTACTGTCTACCACGAGTGTTAGGTTTACCATGTAAGTATGTTATTTTAGAATGAGAAGACGTAGCCATGATTCACACACTACTACACTTTACAACATGCTTTACGTTACACTATGCCACGACATTACTATACTACACAATATACATATGAGATATGACATACTGTATATCATATACAGCTATATCTGCTTCATAATAATATTGACAGAAATACAGATTATATCGATATCACTATATCATGTATAAGATAAAATAAATAACCTTTTTCATGTTCTCTCACCCAATAGCTCCATGTTATGACTGTTTGTTACTAGGGCCCGACCGATATGGATTTTTTGGGGCCGATGCCGATTCCGATATCATGTAATAAAAAAATCCGATAACCGATATGTCGGCTGATTAAATTTTTATGTTTTTCAATTTAAAAATCCCCAAAATACCTGCTTTTGATGGATTAAATATAGTTCAAACACTCGTTACAAAGATATAAATTGAAGAAAGAACATTTTACTATTTTCAAATACTTTTATTATCATAAATTGTGTGGAACAAGCAGCATATGAACAGTTTGAACACACAATAAATCAAAAATATGATGTGCATAAAGGCAGTAAACCTCTGGGAAGTAAAATAATCATGCAAAGTCTATATGAATTAAGACATTCACATGTATGTTCACAGTACCAGAGTTCTTATTATTGCCAATTTAACAGAGGTAGGACATCATTTCTAAGTAAAACACCATAATCCCTGCCCATTTATTAGTGATGAAAATACGTGTTAACATCGGCGTCAATTGGCCAACTTTTGGCCGATTGCCGATTATTCTCCAATGGCTATAATTGGCCAATTAAATCGGCCGGCCGATAAATTGGTCGGGCCCTATTTGTTACTACTTTTAATTAACTTTTTAAGACTTTAGAAAAAAAATAAAACTAACTGAAACAATATTGTGTGCTTACAAAATTAACTAAAATACAATAAAAATATACAGTAAATATTTAGTTTGAATTTTGGAAAACCTATTCTGAACTAAATAAATTTTGCCCCTTACAGATACCCCCCATATTATATAAAAAA